AATGAATTTCTAGAGATAGTTCATTAATCTCATTTTGTAGAAGTTTCCAACTAAAAAAAAAATCACTTAATAATAAATGAGCTATAAAAATCATGTTAATGTCAGTAATATGAGCAGCTGAGAAATAAATACAGGAGAGTAGAAATATTTCAATATCACAAGAAACGGACATTTCTTATATTCTTTGTAGCACATAATAATGGTTTTCTGCAATCAAATGAATATTGCATTTCCCACTTTATGGTACAGGAATTAAGCCGATTGGATAGTATTTTCCTTCATACATTTTAAATTCTTATCCAGATTTTATGAATCATTAAATAAAGACAATAAAATTTTCTGTTTTGATAAAGGTTTCAATTGTAATAGTAGGACATGTTAACCTCCTGGACCACTCTGCTGCTTTAAAGTAGATTTATACCTACCAGAAAGTGCTTCTTTTAATGGCCACTCTACTGGGAATTCAATCCATCTGTCTCCATTAAGAGATGGAGGAAGTGTTTTATTTATGGTGAGACTAAAGGTATCCAGAGTTGATGTGTTCTGCATTTTAAAATGACCGAGAGCCAACTGGGAGGTGCTGTTTTCCAAACTCTGCAGACCAAGCCTCACTTTATAAAGCATTCCCAAATCAGATGGTAAATGTATCTAGGAAGCAACAAAATGATCAGTTGGCATTCAGAGGTATCTAGATATATGCATAGATAATTCACAGGAAGAGAGGAAGTTTTCTCTAAAGGAGTCAGCACAAACTTAGCCGCATTTACAACAGTCTCAGTGCTAAAAGTCCCATTGAGTTCAAAGGCAGCAGGACCAGATTGACTGCAAGCACTTACGGAAATATTAGCTTTATATGCTCTAGGGGCATTCATTGCAATTATTGAATCAGATTAAAATTACATACAGCACCGATTTCTAAATGTGACTACTTAATGCCATTGCAACTGATATGCATTATTAACTGCAACTTTTTTTGTTGACCAAAAAAACTAAAAAAGAAATAAGGAAAGAATAATATGCTTGATCACCATGAGCTAAAGAAAGCCAAACATTAAAAATGAAATCTGGCATGAAACCAACAATTTCAGTTCTGCTTTTCTTGACTATTTCAACAAAAATATCTGCAATATTTACAACACTAAATTATTATCTTTAAAAGGAAACTCAAAGAAAATGTAAATACAGACAAATCTATATTTTTTACATCATATGTGACTTGGTTCTTAGCCTGATGTTCCACTTTGTTTTCCATGAAAACTGGATTTGACTTGCCGTTGCTTCCATAAAAAAACATAACCAACTTGGATATATTTTCTGACAATTTTTCAAAGTCTGTTTCTGTTTCTTCTTGATGTTTTGTGAAATAAATCCTCCATCTGCCTTCTGAGGAAAAGAAATAAGGAAAATAAAAATAGAAAAACTATTAAAGGTGTTTCTTTTTTCATATGTTAACCCCTATGAAAAAATTCCTAAGATGTGTCTTAGTCTTCATGGAGAACATTTATATATAAGCACTTCATCCAGGTGCTGATCAGCTCTGTAGGTATATTGTAATTTCTTATAATTACAAAGAGGAAAATATTGTCAGTACTAGTAAGAACAATGATGTAATGGGATGAAAATATTCTCACATTATTATTTCAGAACTAATGAATAAAACAGTCGATGTAATGACAGCAGATGTACCTGAATTCATTTGCTCTCTTCCTAAAGGACAGGCAGAAGTGCTTCTCCTCTCCTGAATTTCTAATTGAAAAAAGATTGAAGACCAAATTAATACTTCAGTAGAACAGGATCTAAATGATAACAAATGCCTGTATTCATCTCTAATGAAGCAACTGACTGAGTATTTTATGATTTAGATTAAAGATTTAACTAGGAAGTGCACAATGTGATTTTCTACTTAAGCATGGTCTCCTACATGTCATCCTGTTTAATGAACTGACTCTGAAACTTGTCCTTTACTGTGAAATGGTTGTAATACAAAGATTCAAGTATTTTATATTTTTTATTTTAAAACATTTCTGTTTCATTTATACAATTTAAGCTCTGGACAAATCAGAAGTGATTAAATGTTTTTAACGCCCATTTTAGGGGCTGATGGGCTGATACTCCTCCCACTGGTATCAGCTCCCATTGATTTCATTGGGATTTGACATTGACCGAAACTACTGGCAGACATTAGCCAGAAGCATGAAACAAAGAGGGAAAGTCTTCTTTTGAGATCATAGCCAAGCTTGGATTTGCCATTTATTGTATAAAAAAACCTCACAGGAACACTTGCTCCTTCTACCAAATCAAAACCTTCTGACAGAAACATAAACATCCTTTTAAAAAAAACTAAACCAAAACAAAATAAAATAAAAAAAAACACCAAAAAAGTTATATAAGCTTAAATAGACTAAATATTCCTATATTTTATTTTGAAAAGTCTCAAAAATTGATCTAAAACAAAGCTGAAATTATTTGCTTTTACACAATAACAACTTCCTCCTTTTCTTTCTGTGTTTCAAATGATTGAAATTAAGAGTTGATAAAGCAGAGGGAATAGATAGCACTGGAACTCTACTCAGTGTCAATAAGCTGTTGCTGGACAAGCATCATCATGCCAATGCTGCTGCAGTGATCAGAGATGCTCTAGGTGTTAGGAGGAAAATAGCTAGAATATTTTCTGTAATCTAAAGATTCCTCTATACTATTCACTTATCTTAGGGGCGGGATCAGTAGAAATAGCTCCGTCTTATAAGTACATTCTGGGCTTTAGCTGCCTGCTCATCTGGCTGGGGTGTTGCTGTTGTTTCCTCACAGTGTGCACACCAGATTGTGTTTGCATTGGAAGCATGGCACAGGGAGGAAGGATGCACATTCCCTTCTTGTCTTGACAAAGAGTGCACTCAAAGGCACTGGGGTCCAAACTGCTTCTCTGTGGACTTATTACCCACAGAGTGTCCATCAAAAGCATGTCTGTTTCTGGCAAAAGCATAAATGATATAGAATAGTCTTCTTTAATATAATGGAGCCATTTTCTCCACTGCTTAAATGTAGTTTGCCCTGCTATTTACCTCACTTTTACTATGCCTGGCAAGTAGCTGGCAGAAGTATTCAAAGCTTAAAAAAATGTTTGCAAGTGGCAAGGTAGAAGAAAGACCTGGAGAGGCAGCAATTTGTGAAGAGGTCAAATTTGTTGCCATATATAGTCTGTAAATCTGGAGTAACAAAGAAGAAATTATCCTCTGGCAAATAGCAGTTATTAAATAGTACTAAAAATCAACAGTGTTCAGACACTCTAGTTCCCTGTGTAATGACACTGGTCTACTGGAATATTTTTAACCCTAACTTGTTTATAGAAGCAAATCACATGGCTGCATTCTGCTGTTTGAAACTAATTTCATAGCAAATGAGAATTTGAAGATAATATTGACCTGTGGCATTCAGAGTTACTGAGGCAGATCTTTTTCCACCACGGGTGTCTTTTAGCCATGTTTGAGCCATAAACAATGTTTCTGTCCCTGCAGCTGCTGAGTCTTTCACAATAATCTTCTCCAGAAGCCAATCAGAGCCTTTCCCTTTTTCAACCACCAGCCCTTGCAGAGTCCCAACATCTACTGCTTCCACTTGAAAAACATCCACCTGAAAAATTCAGAATAAAAAAGACGTGGAAATTGAACCATCAAACTAAACTGATAGTGTACTTTGAAATACAAAATTGAGAGGGAAAATAAAGATTTTTTTAATTGATTTTTTTTTTACTATTTCAATAAATATCAAATGAACCAGTGAGGACAAGTTTAAAGATGCTAAACTGCATTAAACAGTATTCCCTTTGTGGTTCTGCAATTCACTGCTAGAACATCTCAGTTCCCCACAAGAGATCAATCAGTTGCTCATGCTAACTTCCTGAGAGATTTCCCTTCCCAAATTTCCCATTTAATGATTTACAGGGACACCTCTTTACACATCTTTTACTCTCAACAAAACAGACCACCAGGGCTCCCTTTTGAGTGATGAAATGCAGGGAATGAGAATGGTGGAAGTGAACATCACAAAACAGTATTTTATTCTCGTAGTAAAGAATGACAAATGACTTGTTGGATTAATTTTAATAGAAGTAATTGAATTAAGGGAAAAATACTAGATAAAGCTATGTTTAAATACATTGTACAAGTTTTTGCCAGTTAAAACTCCACAATATTTTTAAAATGTGAAAGGAAAACAACCCAGATATCAGACATTAAACATTTTCAGAATACGCGATTTTGACTTTTTCTGAGTCTTACACCTACTTCCTCAGCTGAAAAACAGAGATTAATTTCTTGGCATAGAGACATTCCACCTGTTTTGCTTTATAGATTTACGAATTATCATCTTGCTTCTATTAGGGCTGATAACTGGTAAAATCTAGAGTTATTTGTGATGAAACTTTCAGCAGGATTTAAAGATATGAAGATGTTTTTGAGGGAACTGGATGGCAATAATGATCAGAACCACTTGAGTTCTGAGAAGTCTTCTGCACTTAATCCACTGTGGAGTCGCTCAGCTAGAGCAAGAGAGCAATAATCTTTAATCAAAAGATTATGCATAGATGAAACAGAGAAAAGCAATTCTTTTGCTTCAGCAACCACAGGTTCAAGACCAGCCTGACCAGCTTGCCATTTATTGTTGTATATACTATAATATATAACAATTTTATATACAGAGAGAGAGAGCTAGAAATTGCAGACTATATGTGATCACCTAGTAAAAAAAATTAAATTTTAAAAAATAAGGATGTCTGGAAACAGAAAAATTTCAAACATTTTTTTCTACAGTTCTGGTCTTGGTGCATTATCTTTAACTTTTCTTTCTCATGTTTTATTAATATATGCACATATGAATGTGTGTGTTTGTGAACTAACCCTTTAACAGCTTCCTAAAAATTATCACCAACCTGTCATAGAATTACTCCTTGGCTTCTTCTAGACAGAAAGGTAGTGCCATTCAAAAACTGCTATAGTGCATCAAGTAACCATCACCTCTGCACTGTCACCCCTGTGTTATCATGTGAAAGGGGGAAAACAACAGCAAGCTGACAATTATTTTAAGCAAAAAGTGTTAAAGAGGCACTTGAATAGCTATACTTTCTAATGATGAGTCAAGGTTATCAACTGCTTAGAGAATTTAGTCTGGCAAAAGCAGAAGATGGAAATAAAGGTTCTTAGAATAATTATGTCCTTCGGCAGCAGAGCAAATACGTTGGAAAGGCTGAAATTCTAGATGGAGTGCAGGACTACAAGGAAAGAGGCTCCTCTTCATGTTTTCCATGGTTAAGTAGAAAAAAAATAAATGTTTAGTGTCACCATCACTATTATATTTTATTTCCTCTTAGACTAGTTTTATGATTGAATATAATTAATCTGAACTCTTAATTGTGATATGAGCTTGATCACTGCTTTATTCTATCAGTAAGTAAATTGGTATTAAGTTACAGCATCATGCTTGAGTAAAATAGAATGGCTTATTACACTTATTAAATAAAATGTATTAAAAACACAGGGTAGAAGATGGGTGAGAAACACAGATAAGTAAGAAACATACAGCCCCCTGTCTCTGTTAGTAAAGAAATAATTTAATTTACCAAAATTTGAAAAATTATCTTTAAAAGTATTGCTTGTCCTTTCAAACATTTATGCTTATGTTAATGCACAATTTCTTTTATTTGAAACATAGAAGGAAGCTTTTATCAGATTAGATACTTGTTAGAATAGATTTCTTTTTAAGAGAAGAGGGTTTGCCAGAGGAGGACTAATTAGTGACACTATCTTCAGCATCTCCAAAAACATCTGCTGTTGATGATCCACTTTTGGAAAGGGGAGAAAGTTAGGAATAAAGGAAAAATACAGACAATATTCTGCAGACTTCTAAATTTGTGCTGTCTCCAAAAGGATAGTTGGGTCTGACTTGCTCTAAGCTTGACAGTTAATAAATGCTATTAAACTGGAAAAAAATTCACAAAACATCAGCAAGAGTATTTGTACACCATTCTCCCTACTGGTAATGTTTCTGAAAATACTTAACTCAGGGGCAGCATGTTCTGCTGGATAATTCAGCCACAGGTAATAGAAAGTTCGCTTACATAGGTAGTACTTGAAAGGTTTTCCAAATTCTTTTTCCTCTGAAAGTAGGTATATATTGGCTGGATAAACATTTGTGAAAACATTGATGTTTAGTTTCCGTTAGACACATTGCTTCAAAATTTGCCAATGTGCATCTTTAACAAGCTCATTTTAGAGCACATAAAATCTCAGAAGTCCATGGTCAAATTTGCAAACTATTCAACCCTCTAATAAACTGCAAAAAAAATCATTGAAAAACTATTAACTAGACTAGGAATTGTGAGGAGTGGGGTAAACTCACTTCACAGAGAAGATTACATTTTCCCTTTATGTGTACATTTGAAAATCTAAGTGGTGTAATGAGCTTTATGGTAGTCAAGAGAACCAAAAATAGAGGCAAAAAAGCAAGTATAATTGTTAGAGCTAGATGAACAATTTGCCAGAGACAATTTCTTTTCCAAATTCAATCCACTTTTCTTCTCACAAGCTGTCTGCAAACAGGCAGATTATTACACATATTTCACTGTAATTTTAATAAATTGAACAATTATTTAAAAGTGAGATAATATTTTTCTGGATTAATTTCAGACCACGGATTAGTCATAAAACATAGGAAAAATTTGAGTTGTTGATGGGTCTTGTATGTCACATGATACTCTCTTATTTGATTTACGAACAGGGACTTTTTCATTTACTGGAGGCTTAACTCTTCTGCAAAAAGAGAAAGGGAGAGGGATCAAAAAACACAGGAGATAAACCCACAGAATATAAAACTTCTATTTTTCATGCTAATCACTCTAGTTACTACTAGGAGATTAGGTTTAAATGGAGAAAAGGTACCTTAAGTATCGATAACACATATAAGCAAAGCTTACATTGAATTTTCTCAGAATTGTATTAAAGCAATTCGTGTGTATGTACAGCCCACTAAGTTTTCTTAACTAACCCTGTCTGGAGAGAGTATGTTTTCTAAGACTGAGCAGCTGAGACTGATAATATGAGAGCCGCACATCCTCTGTGACCACGAGGAGTTCCCCTAGCAAAACCAGGATATTTTTTTTCATATGTCTAGGATAAGAAAATAAGCACTGAAAAACTGTTTAAAAACAATCATTCCAGCAACCCTTTCAGACTACTTAAAGTTTAATTTGTCCTAATTCCTTTAAAGATTTCCTTCAAATTTTCCTTCTTATCTTGGGACCTAAATTCTGAGTATTCCTTTGAACCTATCACCCCATTTGGATTTATTCAGTGCTCTTCAGTGTCAGTGCTGGCAACATACCACAGTCTGTAGCAGTTGCAGTAGCCTTTGTAACAGAAGAAGCATTTGAATAGTCCTTTTGCAATATTTACCTTTATAAATGCCAATCATTTTATAGGCTCAGTATTGTGGCTTGATGGTTGGTTAATGATGATATTCCCAGCAGAACTGAAAATGGCAAGTCAAGACACACCATATGCTTAATTTTATCAACCTGCATGCACAAGTGATTTCCCTCACTGCTAATGCTACTATCATTTTAATAGACTTTTATTGGAAAAGGAGTTACGAGTGTCTAGATAAAGGACCTTTCCTATTAAGCTTAGTAAACCTATTGATTTGCTGCCTGATTATTTTGATCTCACTTGTTAATCTGGAGAAACTCCACTGAAAACTAAAGAGTTATAGCCTAGGCAGGTAAAATAAAAGCCCTGTAACACCAAGCCCAAATCAGAAACAGTGTCTGAATATTCCTGTAGAAGGAGACAAATGAGAAATACAGCTTCTGCTGAGATGTCAGCCTTCAGACATTTTAGCTGTGCCAGCATAACCACAAAAGCAGTTTCTCTCCAGCCAAATTTTATCAAGACAGACCAAGTGAAAAAATTCAAATTATTAACAATATTAATTGCTTAAACTTCAGAAACATTTGGACAGGGTGAATATATGTCACCATGCCAGCAGACTTACAGGGTGGAAGCACTGGGTAGTAAGCAGCAGCGATAACAAGTGCTGGTAACAGGATTGTCTTGGCCCAGCTCAGCAGGAGGATGAACAGTGTGCATCTGCCTGTGACCTCAGCGTCTTGTCATCTGTGTTCTGTACAAATGCTTCTTTAAAAATGGGGTTTTTCCATGCATTTGAAAAAGCCAACCCTAAGTTTTCTCCTAAATTCACATATTTTTGCAAACGTGTTTTTGTTTTATGTTAAATTCTCATCCAGAAATTCAATGAAAAACTTTACATGAAAAAAATAAATTAATTTGAATTACAGTGAATGCATAATTAGACATTTCTGGTACCACTTAATACCAGTTTCTGGTAGCAATTAATATTGGTAAACCTACAATTATCATGGTTCATCCATCTTCAACATGATTAGTGAAAGAGCAGGAGCAGTAAAAAAACCTGAATAATATTTGCCCTGAACTTACCTTATGTTAATTTGCTTAGCATAACTGGATCAGAATTTTTTTGAAACAGGATTTGTATGCATAGAATGGCAACAGGAGTAAAAAAGAATAGTGGTACATTATAATAATCAGCAGCTATGACCA